GAAACAAGGCTCGCGACAATTAGTAGCTGGAAGTTCCAAAACGAAGCCGGCCCTGAATGTCCAAAGTGCTGGGAGTGTATAGAGGCTTCAAGCACGGGTCAGGTCTTTGAAAGTCCCTAGCACCGATGTTGGGGCATTTCAGTGCTGAGCCCACTAGAGATTCTACGCCATCCTCATGGCTTCTGCTGAAATCCGTTTTAGGGTTTAGGGTTTGAGAACGAGGGTCCACATATGGTCCCGTGTCGCCGCATCAGTGTCGTGCACGAGCAAACACAGTCACAGGGATGGTGCTCGTTTGCATCATCTTTCTCGTAACTGTCGACTTTTTCTTGGAACCGTCGCGCAGTCTTCGCAACTTTGTGGCCGTGAATCGCCCCGCCCCATCCTCCAGATGAGAATGAGAGCGATGATGCTGTCGAAGTCTTTGGACAATGACGCTGATGTGCTTCTTGCATGTTGGCATTCCGAGTGTGATTGTTGGTAGCACAATTGCTCTTATGCTGTTTTAGTCTTAGGTACCGCATGTTCTGTGCTTTTACTATTTGAAAAGCTTGTCTGGCTTGATGTTTCTTCGTCGTAGATTTTATCGACCGTTGAAAGTTGTCATTCTATGCTAAATTTCGCTTGGGTTCGTTACAAGTAAGCCTGAGCATGTGTTTGAATGACTTTCAGCAGCAAGGGACAAGAGGAGAGTGCCGATGGTGATCATGATCAGCATCTTGACTATCATCGTCACAGCCATCATCACATAATTGGCTTTGGAATTCGGGGCGGGTCGGAGTTCAGTCGAACCGTATCATTCCATAATGCCCAAACCCCAAGCAACCGAACGCGCCCGAACCGCAACAGTCATGCAAGGGGGCACAGCCAACCACAGCAGCAGCAACAACAACAACAAGGGTCAAGGGGGCCGTGGGGAACCCACACCACAAGGGACTACGAGGATGCGATATCATGAGTGGGTGGGTGGGTTGGGGGTCCTAGCAGCGTTGCACCATCTAAAGGTGTATATAGGTGTGAGTCTATAGATATATATATATGTACATACATACATACTAAGATTATGGAACTAGGTCTCCAAAATCATAATAGGGAAGGTCTTTGGTGCCTACTTCCATAATATATTAATGGTAGTATATATGTACCCTCTGGGTAAGTAAGCACTGAGATGCAGAGGGCTTCGATTTTGGGGCTCTCCATCACAGAATCTTTGGCTTCACATCGCCGGCTCTCTGCTTTAACTCTGAAATCCTAAACCCGGAACGCGTGACCCCGAGAACTAGTGGGTTTAAGGTTTAGGGTTTAGGCCCTACACCCTAAACCCCGCAACACTTGAACCCCGAACTTCACACACTTCAGAGCTCGGAGCCACCCTTCCTTCTTCACCGCCCCTCCCCCCCCTCCCCCCCTCTGGAGCATTGAAATTGTGCCTTTACCGACAACCTTCCAAAAGCCCTTTTGCAAGCCTCCCAGAACCCCTTGTAAAGATTAGAACCTCTGTCAAACCTCTCTAGAATCCTTCCGGAGCCCTTGCCAGCTCAGGTTTACAACGTTCGTGGGCGGTCCAGTGAACCTGGATGCTGGGAACCGAGAACGCCGCGTCGGTGCTGCCTAGCTTCCTAGCTTACCACTCTAGCTGTCTAGTAGCCTAATATAGGGATCGGAATGATAACTTCGAGTAAGATACATGGCATCGTTTCTTTACTTTAACAGCTTATTTTGGTTAGTAAGGGCCCTTCAGGCCGTCGCAAGTTCCCAAATGTTTAGGGTTTAGGGTTCCTGGAGGGCTTAGACTATAAGTAGAGCAACCAAATTAGAGTGCATATTAGGCATCAGTTTGCGGCATCTTCAACCACGACAGCAATATTGACAGAAATTGCGAGAGTATTAAGATGACTACGAAGATGGTAGACTCAGTGGCGACAGCAGCAGTTGAGCAGGATTTCAGGGCTTAAGGTTTAGGGTTTACTGTGTGGGGTTCTGCTTGTAGGGTCAAGCTCGAAACCGAAAGCACTGAGACCCTAAAAACTACACTAAACTTTCCGCCCGAAGCAGCTACATCTTCGTTGAGGCCACTGCTTCGCTAATGCGGAGCAACGAGAACTTCGCGCCCAGATACGACCAGCGCATCCTGCAAGCGTGCGCTAATGGTCACGGTCTAGGGCTTCAAAGAGCGATCGGAGGAGTCAGTAATAGTTTCCTCCAATAGTCTCAAAATTTGTATCGTATGAGTACACAATAGATATGTCGCCAAAGCCTTATTCTGATGATAAAGGCAGCTATATTGTGGGTCAGTACGTCGAAGGCTACAGGGGCATGGCCCGATAGGCGCATACCCGATGTGAAATGCCCCCAGCCGCAAAACTTTGCAGCCTATTCAATAACGGTTTATAGGGGTTTAGGGTATATTCATTTCCTGAACCGTCATGAGAGAAAAAGTGCGCTCAAAGGTTTTCCCAGCCGGTCTGCTTCTTTGCCCTGATACGCCCATGTTTATATTCCCATAAATGCTTTAAATTAAACCAAGAACACCGTAACCTAACATATTACAACAGAGTACGGTACAAGGTTAAACACACCGCAAACTCCACAGCACCGCCGGGGATTCCGCTACACAGCACAAGATTATGTTGTTTGAGTAAATAACCAAAACCCTAAATCCCAAACAGGTTACGGTTTTGGTGCTCTCACTTTTCAGGTACTTTGCAGAGTGCGGCTTCCGCGCAATTTTCCAGGAGCGCACTTGCTTCAGGGTGCTTCGTTCAGGCTTTAAGGGTTCTACAAGGTTCTTTACGGGGTTCTATTAGGGTTCTATCCGGGTTCCGGGGTTATAGGATTCTCGAGGGTGGGGCGATTAGGGCCAGGGTGTAGGACTTTCGGCTTGTTTACTGGGTTGGTGCGCGCGCGTGTGTGTGTGTGTGTTGTGTGTGTGTGTGTCTGTGTGTGTGTGTGTGTTGTGTGTTTCTGCGGTGGAGTAGTTTGTGGTTATCATTACCATTAACGAGGTACTAAAATGTGCTTTATACAGTGAATAACATGAATGTAAATGTTGTTATTCTCGCAACTCTACACAAAAATCCTTGGACAGAAGTCGTGGCAGTAATGTTGTTGGTGCTAGCAGTTGCAAAAACCATCGTAGCAGAACAAGCAGAGGAGGAGGAGTAGCAGTAGCAGTAGCAGTAGCAGTACCAGTACCAGTAGCAGTAGCAGTAGCAGTACCAGTACCAGTAGCAGTAGTAGTAGTCGTAGTCGTCATAGTGGTGGTGGTGGTAGTGGTAGTGGTAGTGGTAGTGGTAGTGGTAGTGGTAGTGGTAGTGGTAGTGGTAGTGGTAGTGGTAGTGGTAGTGGCAGTGGCAGCGGCAGTGGCAGTGGCAGTGGTAGTGGTCGTGGTAGTAGTGGCGGTCAGCATGCATGACACTCGTTTACTGCACGTTTCATATAAGCTTCGTTTGCTTCACAGTCTTTTGAAACAGTCAAAATGGTGGATCCAGTTTTCTGAAACAGCTAAAATGGTGGATCCTTCGGGGGGGGCACCATATAGCATAAATAAATAAATGAATAAATATATATATATATATATGTGTGTATATACACATAAGAGTATAAGCAAGTAGTATACATTATGATTGGAGAGGGTTCATGGTTTGGTGAATGTGGCTGTTGTGCTGGTTGAGGAGGATGGCTCCTGCATGCTGCAGAGGAAGCACATGGAGTCCAAACTCACGACCGAAAAGGATTTCTGCAATGGAGTCATCAAAGAGCTCAACTTCGACAACTTCAGCCACGGTGACGAGATCTTGCCGGATTCGATCCCAGGAGTGACCATCGAGGCCACTCGCCGTGCCACGGAGCCAGAGCCAGGCTTCCCGAAGAATTGCTCAGGGCCTTTGTTGATCTTGGACACTCGCGATCCCGATGGTCGCAGCTTTGACAAGGACTTGAAGAATTGCGAGAATTGCACCCTGATGCTATGGTCCAAGGACGGCAACCGGAAGAAGGTCAACGACTGTGGCGAGCACCCGGGTGTGATGATCAGCTTCAAGTTCAAGAAGCTGCACGATCTCGTGGACATCGAGCTTTGGGACCTGGAGGAGCCCACCTTCATCGAGCTTTACGGGCCGGAAGGTGAGTTGCTGAAGAACGTCTCCGCACCGGATGGCCCGGACCAGGACGGCAACCCGGCGGTCGTCGACCTCTTTACAGAGGGCGTGAAGGAGATGATCGTCTACATGGGTGGCTCTGGAGCCGTCCGCAAGATCCGAAATTGTGTTCCTCCGCCGCCCTTTTGCCCGGGACCCCCCGGTGAGCTCACCTTCAACAGCTTCACCCACGGCCAAGAGATTTTGCCCGACTCCATCCCGGGTTTGACCATCGTGGCCACTCGCCGTGCCACGGAGCCGGAGCCAGGCTTCCCGAAGAATTGCTCAGGGCCTTTGTTGATCTTGGACACTCGCGATCCCGATGGTCGCAGCTTCGACAAGGACTTGAAGAAATGCGAGAATTGCACCCTGATGCTTTGGTCCAAGGACGGTAACCAGAGAAAGGTCAACGACTGTGGCGAGCACCCGGGTGTGATGATCAGCTTCAAGTTCAAGAAGCTGCACGATCTCGTGGACATCGAGCTTTGGGACCTGGAGGAGCCCACCTTCATCGAGCTTTACGGGTCGGAAGGTGAGTTGCTGAAGAACATCTCCGCACCGGATGGCCCGGACCAGGACGGCAACCCGGCGGTGGTGGAGTTGCTGACGAAGGGGGTGACTGAGCTGGTCTTGGAGGGAAGCAAGATGAAGCAAGAAAGCTTACGATAAGCTGTGTTCTGTTCATTGCATCGCTACTTCATCGCCATGCCTGTAATGTCTTGTTGATTGTCAGCTATGCTGTAACATGAGCAGGGTATCTCTTCGAGCTACTTGTTGGATTTTGGAGCCGTCGAGAATTCATATAACCCTTCTGGTATAAAAACTCAGCCTCCCCTCTTTTTTTAGAACCCTAAAGCCCTAAACCCTAAACTCCAAACCCTAAAGCCCTAAAGCCTTAAACCCTAAGTTAGGTGAAGGAGATGATCGTCTACATGGGCGGCTCGGGAGCAGTCCGCCGCATCCGGGCCTGCAAAGCTCCCGGCAGCGTCGTAGGCACCGGGCCTGGGCTGAGGTTTAATTCCTAAGAATTCGAATGGTGTTTTGGGGTTTAGGGCTTTAGGGTTTAGGGCTTTCGAATTTCGGCTTTAGGGTTTAATTAAGGTTGTAGAGTTTAGGGTGTAGGGTTTAGGGTTGTCGAGTATACTGTCAGTGTTTTGGGGGCTATAAGGAGATACTGTACTAGACCAACCATTATTCAGACCCCTAGCTGAAATTCCTAGATTGAAGATGTTGGGCCTTTCGGCTATGGTTATTTGCCCCCAGCCGGATGTCTTCCTGGAGGGGCATTTGAGGGTTGGCGGGGCAACGGTGGACGTTAAGGGCTTTGTGCCCTAACCTAAACGCTGAACCAATAAAAGCATCGAGAAGAACAACACCGCCTGCCCTGCGCCCCTGGTTTTGGAAGGGTAACCCCCAACCCCCAAAGCCCTAATAAACCCCCACCCATAGTATCTCATTGTAGCCTCTATACACTTACAGTTTACTCGACCCCAAAACACCATTCTAATGATTAGGGCTCCCATGTTGTCGGATATATCCTGAAATCATAATGAGGATCCTGCTGAAGAGCGCCCCGCAGGTGACCCGCACATCTACACCCTGGACGGCGACAAGTTCGACTTCTACCAGCGACGCGGCCCAGAGTTGAAGCCCCTATCATCCCCAATCCCCCAACCTGAACCCTAAGCCCACACTTTTCTTCAGGTGTCGGAGGTTCTGGGTTTTTTAGGTGATTCGGGGTTTAGGTACGGTGTAGGTACAGTTTAGGGTCTGGGGGAGCCGAGGTTGCTTGAAATCTTAACCCGACCTGAGCTTCAAGTCCCGGCGTTTGAGGTTTCGGTGTCATGGCGTGGCCCCACTAATTGCCAATGGTTTAGGGTTTAGGGTTCCTTAGGTGTTAAGGTTTGGGATGTAGGGATGTGTTCAGGCTTTCGGTGCAGGGCTTACGGTTTAGGATGTAAGGATGGCTTTGAATAAGGGCCAAGACTGCTCCTTAGGCCTCCTTCTGATGGTTACACTAGATTTTTCCCCAGACTCTATCCTAGTCAGCAAGACCCTTCATCGTCTTCGAATTACTAAGGCCAGTAAAGCAGCTTTTAGGGCACGAGAGTCTAAGATCCCTCCGTCAATCCAAAGGCCATGGATTTCCTACCACTGCTTGCGGGGTTTCAAGCTTTGGGGGCATGGCTCCAGGTTTTCAGGGTTCTCGATGTTGCTTTAAAGGGCTCTTTTAAGGATGCATTGAGGGTTTAGGCTTTTCCTTTTTTGTAGGGTTGAGGGCTTATTGAGGGTTTGGCTGTGGAGTTTCCACGGTCATGTTTCAGGCATGTAAGTCTTGCTCCAGAGGCTTCTCCCGCTCTTCTTCTTCTTGTCGATGCCATTGTTGGTCTCACGCCTTGCCCCCAAGCCTAGGGACCCCTTGAACTTAAGAAAAAAGCGCTTGAGGGGTTTAGGCTTTACAGGCTTCCTCCCAAGCGTGTCGACTCGAGGATCCTTCCATCCCAGGCCCCTGAAGCCCCGAAGGCCTGCAGGGTTCAGAAGCCCTACACCTCGAACCCTAAACCCGAAACCCTGAACCTTGAACCCTGAAGCCTAAACCCCACCCTAGAGCCCAGAGAGCCCAGAGAGCCCAGAGAGCCCTAAACCCTGAAGCTTCAGCCCTAAGGCCCTGAGACCAAACGTCCGAAGCACTGAGCCTCCCTCCCCAAGCATTGCAGCAGAGCAGCAAGCTGAAGCTCGGAGTCGCCGGGGATCCGCTCCTTTCAGCTTCGCCCAAGAAATCTTTAGATCCTAAAAACCTAAGCATTAAAACATACACCCTAAGCCCTTTAATTTCTACAACCCGAAGCCCTAAGCCACAAAAGCCCTAAAGAAGCTAGAGCCTCCAAAAAACCCTCACATCTTCACAGTATAGGAACGGGACCTTCTCCGTGTTCCATTACCACGGCCAGAAGTTGGCACTCCCGGAGGAGCAGAATGCGACCGTGGACTGGTACACTGGACTGCATGGGTTGATACTGTGGATGATAGAAGTCCTTGGCATTACCTTAAGGACCCTAAACCATGGGAATCATGGTATATTCCTTATTATGGGTAATGCAGGATTTATATCATCAACCGTATACATCCGAGCACATAACAAACAACCAAACACGAATAGCGAAGAACAGCGAATATGTTCATGAACAAATAGAAAAGAGATACTGGTTTTTATTGAATGAGCATGTAAGAAGGACGTGAGTATGTAGATCGTGCGTGTATATATGTATAGAAAATCACATAACTACTTAATGGGATTGTGAACATGTAAAGCGGTAAACAAAGCATAGAAGTACATAAGATAATGCCACGAGAGCAATTAAGTAATGTAAGCAAGCAAATACATGGATTGAAAAATCGGTGTATGGATCAAAATACGACTGTATTTTTTACATAGCATACCACTTGTTGTTTCTATTCTTGTCATTACTATTGGTATTCGTATTCTTATTACTGCTATTCTTTTCTTGTGAACCCTACACCCTGAACCGTGGCTCTTATTAGCATGTTTATGTTGGGGGCCTAAATAATTAGAAACACTATTTTTGGGGTTCCTTCTGACATTTATAGTATAATGGGCCCCAAGAACCCATTCTAATTATTCAGGCCCCTATTTTATCCGCAATGCCGACTGATTTGCTTGAGCTGACCGGGGCTTCGGAGTTCGGTGGCTTTCAAGGTTAAGGCAGGTTCTGGGCTTCGGCTTTCGTTATTCGAGGGAATAGGGGCTCAGGGGCTTGGGGTTCGGGGTTTAGGGAATATAGGGTTTAGGGTTTAGGGTGTAGAGAAGTTGTTGTTGGCTTAGGTTTCAGGATAGTTTCGTGTCTGGGTCTTGCAGGAGTTCAGGGAAGATGTTGTTGGTAAATCCCTAAACCCTAAGCCCTCAAGATCCGAAGGAGTTCGCACATGCTATGTTTGTCTTCTGCTACTGTGGTATTTGTTGATTATAGCATTCGGGTTAAGTCAAGGTGCTTTTGTGAAGTTCGTCTGGCCCGCAAAAATCAGCACGCTCCATTTCGTCATGCAAACAGTTGCATGGACAGCCCGCTCCAAGAAGCATTGATCAAGTACCGCTTGGCGATACGCTTAGGCAGTTTCAGCACCAAATCCTACACCCTGTATACATTATATACGTCTATGTATATGTATATGTATATATATATATATATGTATGTGTGTGTATATAGATATATCCTGTGAACCTCATGTTTGGGACCTTTGGGGCACATGGGCTCCCACGAGAAGGGGGCTAGCAGGTCTGTCGGACCGAAACTTTGAAGCATGAGCCCTACGACCCAACACCGAAACCCTGAACTGCAAATGCCTAAACCCCACACCGTCAGGGTCCAGGGTGTAAGGTTTAGGGTGTAGGGTTAGGGTCCAGGGTTTAGAGTTTAGGGTTCAGGATCTAGGGTTTAGGGGTTTAGGGTTTAGGGTTTGGGGGTTTAGGTTCTAGGGTTTAGGGTTTAGGATTTAGGGACCCCATGAGGCAGCTGTACTCCCACTACGGTGGGCCTTTCTGGACAGCGCAGAGCAGCCCGAGCTGCGCTTGGAAGTTAAGGTTTCAGTGTTCGGCTGTTTGGTGCCTGGCGACACAAGATTAAAGCTTCAACCCTACACGGTTTAGGGTTCAGGGCCTAGGCTATGGGTTTGGGGCTTGGCCTTGTGGGTTTAGGACTCAGGGTTTAGGGCAGGTTTTCAGGGTTTAGGGTTTTCGGCCAAAACTTCGAAGAAATGGAACCCTTCATGCAGACTCTAAAGAGTTCATAGAGAAGATTGAGTCTTCTTACCCCCCACCAAAAAAACCAGACTCGCTCCTGGAAGTCCCCCCAAACTCCAAGCGCTCTCCGCAACGAAGCCTGGACTTCTGGCCCGAAATCCTAAACCCTATGACCCAGAATCCCTGGGTCCTTGAAGCTCAGAACTATAAAGTAGCACGAAAACCCTAAACCCTAAGCCCTAAAGCCTGCGTTTTGGGGTTTAGAGTTCAGGGTTTACAGCGCTAAACGACCCTTGGACAAGACGAGTTAAACGGAGACTCTCTCCAAGAAGGACGGCTCTCGAAACCCTGCCTAAGGCGGCTCCTAGAGCCTGTCGCTCCCCAGGAAACCCTGTCATTCCCTTGTGAGCCCATATCGTTTTGGGTGTGTATGTGTATCTGCATATTTATAGATATGTACATGTATGTGTGTGTATACATATTTATACACACATACATACATGTATGTATGTGTATATTCCGATTCTGGTGATTACCCCTAAATCCCAAGACACTGCAAGCCTTGAAGCACAAAGCCAGCCTTAAGGAAGCCATCCTCAAGCCCACAAAACCCAAGGCCCTTTTAAACAAAGCCCTTCAAGCAAACCCGAGCCCTGCAAGATCCCTTTGAAAAAGGCCCTTCAGGGAGAAGCGCAGAAAACTCTCTTGAATCCTCAAGCGTTTTTTCAGCCCTCAGCGACAAAACCCCTGATTCCTAAACTTCAAACACCAAGACCAAACGCGTAAACCCATAAACCCATAACCCCTAACCCCTAAACCCTAAACCTGAAGCCTTAAACCCTAAGCCTAAAACCCGCAAACCGCAAGCCCAACGCCCCAAAAGCCCGAAAGCTCCCACCGGATCCTCCATAAGCCCGAAAACCTAAACCCCACACACTAAACCCTAAATACCCTGCACCCGAAATAAGCCCTGAACCCTAAACCCTAAATAAGCCCTAAACCCTAAATCCCCCAAACCCTACCCCCTAAACCCTAAACCCTAAATAAACCCTAAACCCTAAATACCCTAAACCCTAAACCCTAAATACCCTAAATATCCTAAACCTAAACACGCCCTAAATACCCTAAACCCCGAGGTCTCCTTCTCGTGGATCGCTCCATGGGCTCCCTCAGACAGGCTCTGGAGCTCAGCTCCAAGGCATCCACGGGGCGTGGGGAGTAGGGGGTGTAGGGTACTTAGGGTGTAGGGTGCAGGGTATTTAGGGTGTAGGGTATTTGGGGTGTAGGGTTTCGGTTTTAGGGTGTACGGCATGTAGGGTTTATGGTTTAGGGTGTGTGGTTTCGGG